TGTACATTCAAATTACTGTATATTTCGTGTGCGTCGTCAGTTCCTGAAGAAAAATCACATCTAACCAGGTGTTTAAATTTGCCCCGCGATTTGCCTTCCAGGTATAACTTATTGTCAAGGAGCGTATCATTTCCAGTAGAAACAATAAAAAAACACAATTTCCTAAGAGACATATATCTTTGCAATAACCATATTATAATTTTATTTAAGAAGAGCTGAAACAATTGGGAACGACGGTCTGGCAAGCAAAACTCAGGGTTAAAAGTACATTACTTTATAACTCCGCCTGTTGTAGGTTTCGCGGGACTTGTGTATTGCGCATGCGCTGTATCTTGAGTTTGGCGCGCGAGATTCCACAAGGAAGACTACAGCAGAGCGGTGTTGTTAATCCYTTTTGATACATTTTAAAGTGTTGTGTGCGTTTTTAATAAGTCCAGTTTGTGCTGCCAACATGTGGAATCAGGGTGAGTTTAGTGTCCAACTCGGTTATTCGCTTTTAGAAAGTATCTGATGTGTTGAAACTAACGCTAGCTTAACTGCTACTAGCAATCATCTCTGTTGTGAGGTTAATCCTTCACTATAAATAGGTTTAGTGATACTGGAAGTWGTGAAACGACTTATAAACAGTTCCGTTCATAACACACTGCCTTTTGGGTTTTCAGGAGGAAATGAGTCTGGAGTGGCCGGAGGATACACTCAGTCTCCTGGTGGATTTGCATCGCCTACTGCATCCCAGGGAGGAGAGAAGAAAGTCGGGGTCAGTACCCGAAATGGGCACGGTGGAATAAAACTTGTGAAAAGCAAACCAAAAAGTGCTCCGTTACAGTTTATCCTCGTGTTTATGTTCCGATCAAATGTATTTGTGTTCCTCAAATCATTGTACAGACATTCAATAAATACATGTGCTCGGGGAAATAAAGATGCTTGTAGCCTGAAACTGTATAATAAATGCTGTGTTTACTTCCCAGAGAACACGTGCCACGCAGATTATCCCTTGCACCGTGTCTCAGCTGATGTCYGCCTCTCAAGCTGATGAAGCCTTCAGAGTGGGAGATGTGGAGGTTTCCCAGGTAAACTGAACCAAAACAAGGTGGCACAGTTAGAAAAGGTGTCTTAATAATGCTGCTGTTACTTCATCTCTAAGTTCAGTCCATTTACCATCTTTTTTTTTTTAAACTCCAGTGCTTGGTGCATTATCAACAAACACATTATGTGTGTATTGTTTGTCATTAATCCTTTTTTATTGTGTGGTTTATGGATTGTGTTGCAGGTCACCATTGTCGGTATCATCAGAACCACTGACAAATCCATGACCAATATCCAGTACAAGGTTGATGACATGACTGGTGCTCCTATGGATGTGAAGCAGTGGGTAGACACTGAGGTCAGTGGTGGTAGTTTCTCATATTGTAACATTGATATTTTGGGGATAGGCTTCTTTTCTAATGAAAGAAACTTTGTTGTCTTCCTGTATGATAAAAATTTTTGAAGGTTATTTTGGTTTTTAATGATAATTTTATGAATCAACAGTCACATGACCAAGCAGTTGACAATGTAATTCAGTCCTGAACATTAGTTTTGTTTTTCTTAAGCAGTTCGAACTAAATTGAGATTTTTTTCCCCTTAACATTTTGACCTTATTATTAACACTTTAATTTACATATCAAACCTTGTAAACAAACAACATGTCTTGAGAGCCAGGGCTATACAGTATGTTACACGTGCTATTCCTGGTTAAACAAACTTCAGGTTCTGTTTAGCTGAGCTGCGTGCTCCGTGTTATGCTAGCATTTTCAAACGACTCCTTTTTCTACCAGAGGCTTCCAAATGGTAGTGCTGGGGTAATTTGCAACCCATTAGGCCACATTTTGTTATGTACATGCAGCCACTACCAGGTAATGCTAAACGGGGTTGATGGGTGATTATTGTATTCCAGGAACTGGTAACTGGTAGTGACGTTCATTTCCCAAGAAACCATACTGCCTTCCCGTTAGCCCACAGGCGATTGTATTGTTGCTGCTGCTAACCTAGCTACAACACTGCTACAATATAAACAATGACAAAAAGAGAGCTCTGCTACATACATCATGCAAATAAACATTGATTTTAATACGTACAGTATCGCACAGAAAACACACTACTTGTGCGAGTGATTAAACATGCACAAAAAAATTTAGAAAGATAATTAACAGTAAAAGTTACGGAGTTAACTTTCTGAAGCTGCGAGTAGTCGCCATCTTGAAATCGAAACTGGGGGCAGTTTCATTTTTTCCACTTTACGAGTGGACTATTACCACTGGAGGGGGCATTCCAGTTTAAATCTACCAATGGGAAATTACCACTTCCCAGGACTACTGGAACGCAGCAAGTGTGAGCGATGTTGATCCATTGACTCAGATTGTAAAGAAAAAACCCTTGATTTTAACCCATCCTGAAATGTAAAGATTGCTCAAAAATAATATTTGATCTTAATTTGTCATTGACGTGTCTAGAAAAGTTGCCAATGTGGTGAGATATTTTGACTTAAAACAAGTCAAAGGTTGTTATGAAAGTTTAAGTAAAAAATGTCTTTTTTTTTTCAAGTAGCTGAGAGTTATTTTTTTGTATAAATTTATGTAAAAATATCTTTACCTGTTGGCAGTTTTTCAAAAGACAAAATTACTTAAAATAAGGTTTAAAAAAATCTGAACTTTAGCTATTTTGACCAGTATGTCACCTTTTTCAGTGTGAAAACAATCTAAATAAATTTGTACAAAGGTGGCATACTTTAGGTCAAACTATAATGCTACGTTTACACCAAACGCGTTGCGCGCCTCCAAAAGTCTCAAAACGCACCCACCTTGATGCTGGTGTCCAGTGAGGACGGACGCATTTGATGTGAACTTAGATGCGCTTCCTTAAATGCGCGATAGGAGGAGCCTTTTTAACCGTCGTCTCGATAACTTACCAAACATGCCGACTTCCTCACAAATCATCCTCCAAGCAAAGTCCTTTTTATTTCTATCACGATAACGGACACTGGAATGATCATAGATGATCAGACTATCAGTTTTTCCTCCATTGTTTGTGTGATCCGATTTCCCGGGCTTCAGGGATTTCCGGCTCATCACCAGTGCATCACTGAGCAGAGTTTCTCTGATTGGTTGATGGGACGCGTCGAGCATCAAAAGTTCAGATTTTCCAACTTGTGCGTCGGACGCTTGGGACGTGCTGCACCCACTGAAAACGCTCAAGACGTGCGAAACGCTTCGAACCGCGCTGCTTCACCGCCGCCAGAAGCGCTGCTCGGCTGCTAGACGCCCCTAGATGCGCGTCCACCATTGACTTTGCATGTAAACCAGATGCTCAAAACGCGTTTGGTGTAAATGTACCATAATAGTTACAGGAGTTACCTTGAAGTCCCTTTGGGCTCCACCAACTTGTTGCTGAGTAGAGTGTTCTTAGAGTTACTTCTTGCAAATGTAATGGCCTCATTAACATAACACTGGAGGCAAGAAGGGCATTCACATCTGCCATATGGCAGTTCCTTGGGATTTAAAGGTATAACTGCCAAATGGCAGAGGTCTAATGGCTCGTTCACACCGAGAGCGTTTTGAGCGGCAGGAGCTGCCAGTTTACATGCAAAGTCTATGGCGAACGCGCCTCAAGGGGTTGTGCGTCGCGTCACGCGCGTTATGAGCGGCGCGCAAGGAAGGCGGAAGG